AATAGTCAGGAAGTAAAAGGATATCCTGAAAGGGTTGACTTCTAAGGAAAAGAAATTTCTAATAGAGGTCTTTTGGAGGACATGGAGCATTTTAATTTTCTTTTTTTTTCTTTTCATTTTCATGTAATGCATTTGTACATTTTTAGATATTCCCCTTTTATTTTATTTTTCCTTTCCTCTTTTGTAGTTTCTTGAATCAGTTCCTTGGAGGATAATAAATAGTGACAAGCTGCTGGCAATGTTGGGTAAGTTAGGAGGGTCTTTACCCAAAACTTAATCCAGAGTGAAATATTGTCTTCAAGGTTATACTTAGAGGCTGAAGCTCTTTTGAGAATTGAAAGCCATTGACGAGTGTATCAATACAAGTCTTTTAGTTTAGCAATAATACAATTGCCTTATGTATCTCTATCAGTTTTCATATTGATTAATAAATATATAGTATTGGCCTAACCATGGGTTTTAAAAAAAAAAATAATACTATTATAATAATATTTAAGAAATAGAGAGTAATTCAAATTCTCTTTAGTATATACAAGGAACTAGTCCCCTCTTGATACAAAAAAGTTTGAGAAAAAATAACAATAAATTAAAATCTCTTATAAAACTTTTTATATGGATTCAAATAAATAGGTTACAATATATAAACTGAAGTATTCTTAACAAACTTAGATAAAAGAAAAACATATTAAGTAGTTTATACTAATACTTTAACAGATATATTAGAAAAGACAATATTTGTAAACAATAAATCATATTTTATTTCATATTAGCTAGTATATATTTTACTAGTAATCATACTTATTTTTAATCAGATAGAATATTACAATCATTATAAATAGTTCTATTATAAGTTTAGCTTTTTCCATAACTAAATAGATATAATAATCTGAAAAAAAAAATTAGATCCTTTTGTTAAAAAATTCTACAGACTGGTTAATAAATATATATTAACAAACAATAACTCTATTAACTATTAGACTTGTAAACATAGAAATCCAGATAAAAAACTGGGATGTCATATTAATAGAACAAGCCATACAAATATAAAAACATAGAAATGAATTTATAAGTATTCTAAGATATAACAGAAGAAATATGATTAATCAGCTTACATTCTATATTAATAGTTCTTATAAAAAAGGGATAATAGACTGTGAACTTGAAATGAGTTTAACTTGGATTCTAATATAAAAAGACAAAGTGATTAAACAGTTCTCAACAGGAGCATTTATATAACTATCAATAATTAGAATCAAAATATTAACTATTCTTAGTGCACTATACACAGCTTTCCAAAATGTAACTATTATGATTTATACTGATTGCAATAGTATAGTCAAAATATCTGCTCATAAACAAAGACATCAACAAAAAGATGGATAAAGACTATCAACTAGTTATAGTAAAATAAAATCAAAGACTTAGTGAAAAAGAAAAATTTGAATTTAAAAATTTTAAAGGTTAAAGTCCATAAAATCAACAAACTAAATAATAAAGTAGACTTACTTGTTAAACAAGCCAGGTGAAAGAATTCAATAACCTGGTATCGGTGATTAGAACTAAGAAAAGTCCTTACAATAGTTTTATAAAAAAATATACAATAGAGATTAATATCAAAGATTTCATTAAAATATTTAATAAGAAAAAAATTAACTAGACAAGATAACATAAAAAAGAATCCAGAATCTTTAGATTCAAAATGACAAAGTCATAGATTGACTAATCTTTTGTATTAGTTCAATCCAATCAATACTTTTGATATCTCTTTCAAGGTCAATAAAAACAAAATCTTCTTAATTAATCTAATTTATAATAAACTTTCAGTTCTACAGATACTTAAGAAAAGAAAATCAGATGTGTATATTATAAACACTTTTCCAGTATACTAACTTCAAAAAAAAATATTAGAATATCTCTTTGAATATCTAACTATTAGAGAAATCAAGAAAGATATATAGTAGAAAGCAAATAAAAAGATTGACAAATATTTTGGTAAAGAAGTAAAAAATAAGAAAGAAATCTAATCTATAACAAGTAATTGGACAAACAAATGGTTGAAAATGATTCAATAATTCAATAGGAATCTTTTCAATACTATATATAGATATATAAAAGAAAATAAGACTATCTTCTTAAAGAAATATTTTAAAGAGTAGTTCAATATTTCACTTGTAACTATTTAAAGTATAATTGGCAAGCTCTATTAAAAGATGTGAGTAAATTTCAAAAAAAAGATTTGGAATAATCATTGTGTCAAAGTTATAAAATGAAAAAAAAAATAGAATATTATAAAAAAAGATAAAAAAAATAAAAGACATAAGTACAGGTCCAATTCTAATATACAAATCAGACAAGATCAATAAGTATGGTTATTATCTCTAGAAGATCCAAATCTAGAAGGCATTAAAAAAAAATAAAAGAAGTATATAGTAATTATTAAGAATTGAATATATTATGGAATCAAATGGTTTTAGTTTTTAATTGTAGACAAAACTTAGAATAATTTATAATAATGACTTGTAAACAATAATTTTATTAATTAAAGGAGTTATAGTATTCAAATTACTAAAGAAACAAAATATTATTTCTTAGATTATGTTTAGTAAAATAGTTTTTTGATGATAAGTGAGTTAATATATGAAAGTCACAACAATTTGTAAATATCTAGAATATATATAATAAAAATACAGTATATTATACTTATCTAACTGCAGATTAAAAAAAAAAATAAAAAATAAAAATAAACTGATTAAATAAAAAATAAAATAATAAATTAAAAACTTTTTTTACTAATTTTCTGATTATATATAAAAAAGATATTTATAAAAAGTTTTTATATTTCTTTATTAATAAAGTTTAATATTTTTTCTAAAACAACTTGAAGTATAACTTTGAGAATCATTTTTATTCTTTTTTTTTTTTTTACAAATTTTCTTACTCAAAAACTTTATTTTTAATAGTTAAGAAAAATTAAGTAACACCTTTAATATCAATAATAAGAAAGTTTTTAAAGAAAGAAAATCTAATTATGAAATACTTGAAGACCTTTCTAATTTTTGAAAAAAGAAGTTTATAGAGATTTTCTATAATAAAAAGATTTATTTTCTTTTTTTTTATTGTTTTAATCCTTTTAAAAAGTTTTTATTTTAATAATTTTTTGAAAAATTTTACTTATCTTAATTTGATTCTAATTTTTTGATAATATAAATTCTTATAAAAAATGATTGATTAACATGAAACATATTAGTTTTTGAAATATAAACAAGTTTCTATTGGTTATATTCACATGTTCTGATGATATTATTGATAATGAAAAAAATTGTTTTAAAAACATTTGTCTCAAAAGCTCAAGTCTTTTAATAAAAATATTTATAATATCAAAAATTAAGTGATGAATAATATAAATTGCAGAGCCCATTTTTTATTTAAGTTTCTCAAGTAAAGATAAGATTTTAATTAAAAAAGTTGAGATCTAAATGTTTTCCTTGAAATATCCCAATCCAGTACTTGTTTAAATAAAAAATCAATTAAATTAACTTATTATATATTATAAGTGATAAAAAATTTTTTTTCTTCTAAGGTTCAAATAAAGCAAAAAACTATTTCAATTAGGCAAATTCCTTTTGAGAAGAGATTGTTTTTATTTTTGAACTTTTTTGATAAGTCTTAAATTATTTTCTTTTTCCAATCATTTTTCTTTTTTTTCTTTTTAACTTAACAATTCATTGATTTTTGGATTAATCAATAATATCAAATTGTTAACAATAATTTTGATAAATAGAAGTCATAAACAATCTATCAGGAAAGTATAATATTGTTCTCAAAATCCAACTTAGACTATTTATATATAAAAATGAGTTGGTTACTTTGTAAAAAGCCTATAACTTATTATAGATTTTACTTTAATTTATTAATAAAGATATATCATTATGATATAATTGTAACTTTTTTTATGTATATGATTAGAGAATCAATGAAAGGAGTTTTTTTTTAAAGACATGTCAAAATTATATAATTGTGAATTAAAAAAAATAAAATAAAATAAAATAATTTGATTTGCAAATAATAATCAAAACTTTATAATTTTATGAATTAGAAATTATTTTAAAAACCAAATCAAATTGTAACATATTATACTGTATCTACGTTTTCAAAAAATAGACTCATAATTCGGTGGATCATAATCTACAGTATATAATAAATTTAATATAGAACTCTCACTACTCCTAATTAAATTGACATTATTATATTAATTTATTAAGTGAAAATCAAATATATAGTATTTCGGAAACAATGTTAATAGAAACAATTTTGGTTTCATTCTGTCATTCCCTTACAATGGATATTTCCAATTATAGAAAGAATTTCTGAAACCACCTTCTGCCATTATTCACAGCCTTCTATTACTGGAAAAGTAATTGCACAAAACGCGTCAGCCAGAGCATGTAAATATACTTGAATAAGTACGGTTAAGAAAAAAAATTTTTAAATGCCCTATTTTCTTTTTTTTAAAAAGTAGATTTGAATGGCGTTGATTTATATTCACGTCAATTCTGGAATCTGATCAAGAACCGGTTAGCACCTTTACCGGTATGTGTTACCGTCCATCCGGCGCAAGATGTAAATCGCAACTCATAAACTCATTATTATGTCAAAGGCGTTGGTTTTAACAAGCAGAGTCTTCATGCTCTCGTAATTTTCTGAAAAAAACTCGATTTATAGAGCAGTTTAATAAAGGATTAGACATTTCGTCTAGAAACACTATAGCCGCGACACAAAATTACAGAAAATAGTAAAAAAAAAAAATGACGAAAAAATTTTCTTTAAATTTCATGTTAATAGTCTTCATGATTATAGTTTTGACATTATCTACGGCCGCGCATTGTTGTAAACACCACCATAAGCACAGAATAACCGTGACGACCACAATACACGTTTATCATAAGTGTTCTTTATCGAACACTTTTCCAGTCCCATCAGCTACATCTTCAGTAACTACCATGTGTCCAAAGAAAACAATTGTATCTTCGGTCTCATCGAATACTTCTCCAGTTCCACAAGGCACATCCTCAAATACATTAGTACCACCACATACGAATACTTATAATACTTATTCATCGACTCATTCCAAGATTATTTCATTGACCTCCCCTAAGAGTACTTCATCTATTTCTTCCGAGAGTACTTCATCGGCTAATTATCCGACGTCTCCTGAGGAAACTTCGTCCTCTAATTCTCCAACTTCCCCTGAGAAAAATTCATCTATTAATTCTCCGACTCCCCCCGAGAAAAATTCATCGACTAACTCTCCAACTTCTCCCGAGAAAACTTCATCGACTAACTCTCAAACTTCTCCCGAGAAAACTTCGTCGACCAATCCTTCAACTTCTTCAGAGAATACTTCACAGACGACTACTCCGACCTCTGAGAGTACATTGTCGATTACTTCATCGACCTCCCTTAAGAGTACTTCATTGACTACCTCGATTACTTCAACACCTACTAACACACCATCGACTTTTTTGGCGTATACACTTTTTTCAAGCTTTGAAGTCAATTACTCAGGTTTTGGTCAAAGCATATTAGGTTTAGTAACATTTTTTCAAAATCCCAATGGAAATACTGTCGTGTCGGGACAGATAAATCAACCTTTAAATCAATTTAATGGAACTTTTACTTTCGTAATTCTTGATAACAACCAAGTATTGTTCGATTTTACGAGTTCAATTATCCCAATTCAAATTGGAAACGCCTCTACATTCAGCACGTCTCAGAGCTCAGCATTGATAAGTGGTAGTGAAAGTATTATTGGGAAATATTTTGTAATAAGATTTCAGAGTACAACCATTGCAAAAGGCAAGATAAATGAAGTATTTGGCGTTTGAAAATAAATTATATTATGATATTCTTTATATTAGAATATTAAAAAAATTTTTTTTTCTTTGTTTAAAATGAAAATTATACTGTATAACTAACTATCTAGCACTTAAACAATAAAAGAAAATAGATTCGAGTTATTTAATATCAATCTATTTTATATATATATATAAAATAGCAAGTATAAAATAAAGGTTTTAATATTTAGATTATCAGAAAAAGTCAAAAAAGAAATAATAGCATATCTTTAGAATATGTTAGATTATCTTAGTAATTACAACCCTTCAAAAAATTTTTATCAAAGATAATATTTGAACAACTTCTTATTTTAATAAAGAGAAAATCATATTATTCTTTTAAAAAAAAATCAATAAAAAGAAAAAATAAACTTTATAAACATTAAACAAAAAAATCTTTTAATAAAAAAAATAACGAAAAAAACAAAGAGCTAGTAATTATTTCAATTTATATTTTAACAATAAATCGAAAAAAAAAATTTTATAAATATAAAATTTTCAATTTATTTTAAAAATCTTAAAATTAGATAAAAAAATAATTAATTAATAGTAAAAGATTTTTTTTATTAAAAAAAAAAAAACTTTAGCTACAATATATTAAAGTTAATAAGATTTTATAATTCAAAATTTAATTTAATTATTTTATTTTATTTTTATTTTTATTTTTTTTAACCTGCAGTCAGGTTAGCATGGCATGTCTTTATTGTATATATGCTAGATATTTATAAATTGTTGTAACTTTTACATACTAACTTACTCATCATCGAAAAACTATTTCTCTAAATGCAACCTAAGGAATAATATTTCTCACCTTTACTAATTTGGATAACTTCTCTAATTAATAAAATCATTGCTTACAGGTTATTACTGTAGATTATTCTAAGTTCTGTCTGCAGTTAAAAATCAAAACATTTGATTCTATGACAAACCCAATTCTTAATAATTGCTGTATACTTCTTTTCTTCTTTTTCTTTAGTGCCTTTCAGAAAATTTAATTTAATTAATAAATTTACAATTATATTATTAAAACATATTTTTATTGAAATATTAAATAAATATCTTTTTTTTTTCTCTGTTAGACTAGTTATATATACTTTATTAAACATTTTGTAAACTTTACATGTCAATATAACACTAAAGCTAAATCTCTAATTAACTTACTTGTCTTGACTATTGTCACTTTAAGTACAATTTTGAAAGTGATTTATTGTTCTACTAATAGTTTAGGTGAATATCCTTCCAATTAATAGTATTATTGCCTATAGATTATTACTACAGATTATTTTACAAAGCTTTAATAAAGATTAAAATCCTAATTATTTTATTTTATATTCAATTTCTTTCATTAAGATCTGCTTCAGATTCTTGTTATTTAATCTTTTTTCTTTAAAAATTAATAATTTTTTGACCTTGATCTTGTTTTTTAAAACTTTTAGATTTGAACTTCTTGCTTTATTCTTTTTATTAATTTCCTGTAACCATTTTCATTCAATCATTTTTTCATATTTTTTATTTTAAATCTTTTTTCAAATATGATTATAAATTTTCTTCTACATTTTTATAATCCACCTATGAGTTTTTTGTTTTATTATTTTATCATAATATTTGAGATCAACCATTGTAATAAGTCAGTTACTCCTTACAAGTCCTATATAAAAGCTTAGTATCCTATAACCACTTTTAAAGACTTTTTCTATAAATTTAAAAATTGACTTGTCTAGTTTTCTCATTTCTTCTTTATCTTTTATAATTAGCTATATAAAATTTTTTTTTATTTTCTTATTTTTTTTTTTGAAAAAGTTTTTAAATCTCTTTAGTATCTCTTTTAATCATTTTATCTATACTTCTTGTAATTGTTTTTTATATACTAAACATTTTAGTAAATAATCTATTATATCTATATCTTAACTGAACTTTATATATTTTACTTGTATATAAAAATCTAGTTTTTTTATTGCTAGTTTTGTCAATATTAGTAACTTATAATTTATCAATTTCAAAGAAAGCTTTTTTTGTAAGAGTCTTTAAAAGAAATATCTTATGTATACCTATGTTTTATTTTATTTCATATAAAATTTCATATATATTTATACTGATTTTGTATTTGTTAACTCTATTTTTCTTGGATTCTATTCTATTGTATTTATTAGTAGGCTATTGTTTTACTCTTTACTTTTTTAATAAATTGCCTTATTGAAATATTTGGTATTATACTTTACTATTTAATTTTTGTAATAATTTTGGATAATGTAAGATTTTTTCATTCTATTACAAGAAGTTGGAGGGTTCCTTTGATCATGATATTTACTTCTTTATTGTATCTATTATTGGAATAAGCTTTAATCTTGATCAGTTTTAGGTTTAAGTATTTTTTTCTACAAGATCTAACATTCTCATCCATAAAAACCAGTTTTTCTCTTTTAACCATCTTTTGTGTATCTTATTGAGGTCTTTTTTCTTTAGTTTCTTCTATTTAAAGACATAGGTTTAACTATTTATATATATTTTGACTTTACTTTCAATAGAAACAACTAGTAATATAATAATTATTGTTATCACTTTTGTTCTTATTAATAATATCCAGTTTTCTATTCCTGCCTAAAATTTGCTTTCTTTTTCTATTTCTCCTATTTGGATCCATGCTATTTATATTTTTATTTCTTTATTTTTATAGTTAATCAGTAATTTATTAAAATAAAAGGTTCTTACTTTATTTGATTTTTGATTTACTGAAAAACTAATATACATATTTTTTTATATTGTCTCTAATAATTTTTTTTCAATTTTTTATTTCCATATTTACCATTTTGTCGACTTGAATCTGTTGTTGATCCTCCTTTATCTCCTTAAATATTTCTTTTTTGAAAGTTGTCTTGCTCCTTGAAATTGTTAGTACCTAAGCTCTTCTAATAGATTTTTTGATATTGAGATATAGGACTATATGTACTCTGTCTCAGTTTTCTATTGTTATACAATAATTATTTTTTTTAATACCTTTTGAATATTCAAGGTATTTTATTAAACTTGTTATTAATTTATATTTTTCAGCTATTGAATAATTGAAATATTCTATTTCTATATTATCTATTGTACTTTCTCTCATTAACTTTTCTTAGATAACTTGATCCTCTTTGATTTTTATAACAATTCATAACTTTTGTTATTTGTCACAATTGTGTTTTACTATGGAATATTTTAATTTCCATTTTGTTCAATCCATCTTTCAAGATTTAATAAGTTGTTCTATTCTTTTTTTTTATATAATCTTGACTATTGATAGATTCTAAAATCAATCCCTTACCTATATTCTACATAAGTTATAATATTTTCTAGTTTTATGTTTGTTTAGTATCTATATTAATTAGTTGATCTATATATATTAAACTATTATTTTTTAGTAAAGTTATAGTATTATGTATTTGATTGATATATAAGATATTTACTGATTGAACTATTTTTATTATTCTATTTAAATATGGCGAGCTCTATAAAATTATATTCATAGTTCTAGCTAACTTTATTACTAGAAGCATGAAGTTGTCTCTATTTAACGGGTAATATAAAAAGTTATAAATAAGTATATTATCAAGCTCAATTTATACTAATTTGAGTCTAATAATTGTTGTAATTTCTATTGATCCTTAATTATTAAGTTTCTTGTTAACTGACATTCTCTTTATAGCATTTAAATACTTTTCAAGTTATGGATTTTTAGATAATATAGAACACTATTTGATATCAATCTACTAAGGACAGTTTTATTCTTGAAAAGCTTTCTATATATTATTGTTAAAGATATTATATATTTTATAAGACAATATATTGTATTACATTTTAAACTCAATTTTTGATATCAAGACTTTGTTCAATATATATAGTATTTGTTTGTCTTTTATCTTTTTATTTTTTAAAGCTTTGATAATTATATTAATTTCTCCCAATACTCTTTCTTTAAGTTCAACTGCAATCTTTTAATTGTTTATTTATATTCTCAAAAATCTTACTTGCTCAGTTCTATCTAGCTCTCTAACTATTTCTTTATTAATAACTGCTTGAACTTCTACTGGATATTAATTAAAATTATTAATAGTAACTAGTATTGATTTGTTACTATTAATTTAAAAATTATTTGTTTTATAGAAAATTCTTACTTCTTTCAAAATTTTTTACATATCTTTTTTAGATCTAGCAATTTAATTTCTTTATGTTATTTTCTATTGGATCCAGATTCCAGAAGATTATCATCTTGTATCTCCATTTTTCATTATTCTAAATCTTGTATAGAAGAAAATTGTATAATATTCTTTATATAAAAAAGAAGATGGTTTTTTCTTGATCAATTCTATCTACTGCTATTATTGGACTTATTAGGTTGTTTTTGTAAATGACTTTAAACATTCTATTTTAAAATAGGTTCATTACTATATTAATGAAACCAACTAAAATTTTTATTCTTTTCATCATCTTTTTTAACATATCTAGATTAGTAGTATTATATATCTTAGCTATATTTTGAAAGAATATCCAGACAACTCTTTCCGCTGATCCTCTGATCATACACAAAAAAGACATTCGCAAGAAGTTTTATACTTCTAGGCTAACAAAGTCTTACTACTTTCCTTAAACCAACTTGAGAACAAGGTTCCCAAGAGTCACCCTATCACCCCACTACCTCTTTTTATATCTTGCTACAAAAAACTTGTCTTTTAGTGACCAGAAAGAGAACTCTGCCTTTCTTATTAATGGCAAGAAAGTTCTGAAAGGAAGTAGACCTAACTTCTCTATATCCCTCTCACCTGCCTCAGAAACATTACAGAGCCTTTGATATGATGAGAGACTTTTTAGAAGACAACCCCACCACTCTCTTGTCAGATGAATACTTTAATAGTACTCTTTTACAGTTTTTCTAGGGGATTTTGCCTACCTTAGTTTGACCCTGAATTTTGAATAGCACAAAGTTTCTGGTATTGTGATTGGATAATGAAAACACA